AAGCACCGCACAAGATCGGTTGCTGCGCAGCCAAAGTGGGCCGTCTAAACTGCTCCTTGATCAGTAAATAAGTTTCAATATGCACTCAATTCCAGACTTGCCTTGCAAGAATCAGAACTGCTACCTGATAGTCCACAACAGCGGCCATGTTGAGAGCATCTCCTTTTTGTCTCCACAAAACGTTCATGGACCATAAATCGCCGTGACATAAAACTTCTTCCATTCCTAAAAATAGCTATTTTTTGCAATGCCGTGGGTAGCAAGCAAACAGCGCTCTGTGCGCGTAGAAACCACACAGCAGGCTCATTTTAGTATGGTCTCTATTCCGATTTTGCGAACCCCGGAGCATACTTACCGAGCTCATGACTCATATTTTCCACCCGTTCAACATCTACCAAATCCGGGAAAATTTCCTTGAGATGCTTCCCACTCTCCTTAAATTTGCCGCCTTCAAATGTGGAAAACACCGTCAGCAGTTGATCCACCATCTGAATAGTACTAGAAAAAAAGCAGCAATGGTAAGTTCTTGAGGACCTCGAGGACCTTATTCAAGTAGTAGCAAAAGCAAGCACTGGCATCCCTTTCGACAACAACTGCTCTACTGTACCTCTTCGTTGAATACCGCTGCGAAGATGGTTTTGAAAGGTGATATGTACTCATTTCTCTCTTCTGAGGGCACGTCGAGTGAGCTCGCTTCCATTGCGGCTTTGTGTCGAAGAATCTCAACTAGGTGGCATTTATTGTTAGTATCCAGCCTTTTTTTCAGCGAGCGCAACATTGTATCATACGGTTGGTACAAGTCATTTCCACTGGCTGTGGCCGCCCGCCTGCTTCAACAACAGAATGACGAGAGACCTTTCGACGCGCAAAACCCACCCTCGCTGACACGCCTCATCATTTGCAGCGAACAAGACTCCATACCCTCTAGTTGGCAGTGCTGCAGAATTACTACCTTAAAGTTTCTTAGATAAGTGCGTCATCAGATAAGTCCGTGGGGTTGCGATTGTCGTGGATGAAAACCCTAAACATGATGCAGTGTAAGCTGTGCTCTTGGACCATTCGCTGTTTCCAAGAAACAGCTGAATTTTAAATGGATATCACTAGTGGAAGTGATCATAAAAGTAAACAGTAAAAGAGATAGATGGCCGAATAACAGATGAGAAATTTGACAGCTGAAGGTTGGAGCTTAATTGCAAGAAGTTTTAGTGGTTAGAAGACCAGAAAAGGTTTCAACGTGGAGTTGGAAGGGAATAAAGTCGACTGAGGATTCTAAACCCAAGAGAGGACTACCGGCTGTTCCTGGTCTAGAATGTCGCACGGAATGAACCTGACCAAATAACTCTTCCATTGTTAGTCGATTGAGCTTTGTTCTGTTTTTGGCTTTACTGACAGGTGAATCCCTATTGAAATCCTGTAGCACTATCTCCGAAACTAGCGAACATGGTTCTAACCTGAACTTTTTGAAATTATTTTTACAGTCGCTTGTCGGAATGCGTCCACAGAGAGCCTTCGCTTTTCATTGTTTGCTCCTTACTTCTGCAACCAACCCTTCAGGCATCAGATATACGACGTCTGATAAGAGAAGAACAGGGACATTGGAAGAATAGCATCACTAGATCATAATGTGTCCCAGTAGCAACAGTAGAAAAGTGGGTCCAACATTTGATATGAGATGCGGGACGAAGAACACTGATGAAGGCTGTCATCGAGCGATATGAAGACCAATAGGTACTGATAAGAGTCGCTCCTTGTTTTCCTTCATCAGATCTCTTACGACTGATCTGTGACTCCATCTATTCTTGAGCGTTGTATTCACTCTTTGTTCCCATGAGAAGGGTTTCGGTACCACTCAGTAATCTGCCAACTTATGTAAATTCTTTTCTTGCAAAAAAGCTTTGACTCACAAAGGACAATGAGAGATAATGATTGTCAAGTTTGGATAGTCAACCAAGTTCCCCCTTTAAAACTCTACAAAAAGATTCTTCAGCGTGACTGTGCGATTGTAGTGCAGCGCTGTCCCGTGCCAAGCAAGCTACACTGTGCCAACTAGCTTGTTAATACTCAGCTAATCTGCGTATTTCGCTGCGAGCCTGAACTAATGACACACGCCCTGTTGATCCTATCCTACTATATATAAACGGCAACGTCTGTCTGTCTGTCTGTCTGTCTGTCTGTCCGGAAATTCGGAATCACCTGAAGAGCCAGTTGGAGGGGGCGGGTCAAGGTTGGGATTGGGCCAAGATG